CCCCCCCCAGACCCCCCCCCATGAGTTACAGTTTACTTCGTGCAAACGCCGTGGGGAATGCCGCAACACGCGCACACCACAATCTCTCAAACACTGATCGAATAGAGTTCGTTCACCATCGTTCGTCTTGCATCACGTTGAAAGATAACACTACACGACCTTCCGGGTTGCAAAAGTAATGATGCATAGCAGCAATGGACCGGAACCACCAAGCGCAGCCTGTTTCCTGGACCATCGCGATTGTCTCCATATGACGAACGTTGATGTTTGGCCCGCTCGCTGTTGACAACCGGAGTGGCGTCATTGTCGTCGGCTGGCTGCAGCATTGCGCCCACATTCCCTACGACCTCTATACCGTCTTCATTAACATCGCTAATGGCTTCAGTGATTTTTTATATCTGCTTTAATGACCTAACACGCTTTGGGAGCTTCGGGTCAATGTTTTGCAGCGTTTGGTCCGGTCAGAAACAGTCCGATTCCTCGTTGACTTTCGGGCGTGAGCTTCCTAGCAGTATCCATGGCATTAAAGTATATGATATGGTTAACATGTATGTCTCCTGTGAGATTCTAGCGGCTTTGGCACGGACAGTCCATTTTTGGCTGGAGGAATGAACTTGCACGGTCGGAACATTATTTATCCTTAACTTTCAGGACCACGAACATTTTTTTATTCCGAATTCGGAATATATTCCGCAAAAAAATAACGCTGGTGTCGGAGTGTTGGAGTGTTGGGAGTGTGCATGGTGTCGATACGTATGTGTGTCAGTCAGTTCATGTGTTCATGTCCTTGTCAGTGTGGGGATGTGTGGACAAGGGGGTTGGGAAAAAAGGAGAAACCAGCGACACATCAGAAGACCTTTTTTAAAGTCGTCTCTAGGCATGCACATACACACATGCACATACAGACATACAGACGCACGGGCAACACAGCCCCTCAGATGCAATGCTCCATATCTTCACATTCACACTCACACCAAAACAGCTGACATTTTTCCTCACACACATACACACACACAAAAGCACATAAGCAGACAACATGCACATGAATCAACAACTAACGAACCAACCAACTCACACCCAGAGACACAAATACCAGACAGACACCCAGAGATTCTGGATGCTTCATGCTGGGGCCCCGCCCAAAAAACTGCAGGGCCGTGCTTGCCTGCTGTTGGGGGTGGGCGACGCTCATCATGCTCAGCGGTGCTTGCCTGCTGTTGGGGGTGGGCGACGCTCATCATGCTCAGCGGCGTTGGAAAGCTGTCGGAGGAAGCATCGACAGCCAGCGTGAAAGACACGTGTCACACCCCACACAGCAAGCATGTAGGCCAAAGTGGCGCGCGATGTTGCCAAAGCCTCCCATGGCCTGTGCATGCTGGATGTTCACAGCTAGTTACGAAAGCTTGATTTCTAGGGTGAGAGCGAGACATAGAACCCTAAAATATTGAGGGAATCGTACAACAGTCACTTTGAATACGATTAGGTGGTTTGCAGACCAACGACTAAGGCAGAAGATAACCCTAAGCAAGCCCAATTATACATGCAATCATAGCTTTGTTTACATGTAATCTTGACAGTACAGCTCTGGTATTTTCACATACAATGACGTGATTTCAGTTCATGGCGCAAGCATAGCACGAATGGCAACGGTCAAGCTGCTAGCTGCGTTACAGCCAAACATGTGCGTGCCAATCAGAAGGTCTGTCAAAGCAACTCTTCATAATGCCAGGTCTTCCATGCTGTGTGCTAGTCCACTTACTTCCGTAAACCGGCCACCACCACCCATCACCCTCAGGATGACACATATGTTGATCAATATGTAGAAGCTACTCGTGAGGTTATCAGGCGGCTACTGGGCCCCTTCCATGAACTGCAATATGCCAGGTAAAAACACCTTCTCCAATCATGTTCAGATAGCCAGCACCGCTAAGCAACGACCAACCTGTCTCTTGCCCATGTCAATCCGAAACTTCGAACTCAGTGCCGCCTTCCCCCTGCCACCACACGCCAGGGAATCCAAACTCCTGGCCCTGCTGCACTACCATGGTCTCACCACGGGCCTCAGTCACTCCACCCTGGGGGAGGAATACTGCGGCATACTGCAGGTGGCAGGTGAACACCGTCCAGTGCAGCCCAGGAGTAACAAACCCCAGGAGTAACAAACGGTCTCCCCCTTAGTCCTCCTTCAGTCCACCCCCGTTTTCACACATGGACTCTGGACACCGGCAGTTCAATCTGCCCTCACACACGCCAGGTTCCCCCTGGACCGCTATCAGCTCCACATGGTGCATAGCGGTCAGCAGCAGCCGGTAGGGGCAACCTCACCAGGGTAGCCGCAGCCCTATTGCTGCAGATAGTGCAAAGTGTGAGTGCTTCACATGCAGGCGCGGTGCAAGTGTGGCTGCCCGCAGCCCTCCCTGGCCCCACACCCCATGCCTGCCGGTGGTGTGAACCAGTGGCCCATGCTGACCACAGCCTGCCACTGAGGCCGGGCACACAGGTGTGCACTTGATAGCCATAGCCGTTACACCACGCCCTCCACTGCTGCTGCCGCTGCTGCCGTGACACTGGCTGCTGCTGCTGCTGCCGCCGCTGCACCTGGGCTTCACTTCATATGTCTTGGTCAGCACCATGCTGATGCGACCACTGCTATGAAACGCAGCCATCTCTGGCGGGTAGGCATCCAGGAACTTCTGCTGCTCCAGGATGGGGCCGTGGCAGAGGATGTTGCGCAGCAACCTGTGGAACCAGCGAAGCCCAACCTTGACATCAGTCTGAGCCCTGTCATCCCGCTCAAATTTGGTCTTGCTGCCACGGCTGTTGCAGTGGTGGTCCCGGACCTGCAGGTAGATGGAGCACCGGGGCTGTGATCAACGCAGTTGCATGGGAAGCAGGGGTGTACATGCCAGCGGCATTGCGGCCCGGCCCTGTTGGCTGGCTGCAGTCCGCACAATGACTGCAGCTGTTTGGACAAGCATCATGCCTGGAATTCGACAGGTGCTGCACTGCTGCCTCGCACTCTGACCCCTTGTTCCGTTTGCCTGCCCTCTTGGTGCCCGGCTGGGTTGTCTTGGTGGCCCCTCTAACGGTCCCCTCTACATGGGAAAAAGCTTGCAGCAGGTGCTCCTCTGCATCCCCACACCCACCCAGTTTGGCACGGCAAGGAACACTACTGTTGACCCGTGGGTGCTGCAGTAGTCCTGTGACCACTGCATGCGCCCTCCTAATACCTCACAAGCTTGGCTGCTCATTGTCTGATTGGCCACCCTGCTTGCAACCCTGCTTTTCCCCTAGCCAGCAGCATGCACTGCCAACGGTTTCCTGGCTGCCTTGTTACCATTCCTCCTGTGTTTTGCAGGTGACCTTGACGCTGTCTGCAACTGTAGCTTCCTAACCTCATCCTCCTTTTCCTTCTGCTGTTGGTCTCCTGGCCGGACTCGCCAATCTTGCAGTACAGCAACTCGCCCACCCCCCACACATGCCCCAACACCCTTCACTGGCATCCTTACCTGGATGAACCAGTCCGCCTTCAGCAGCCTGTCCGGTGTAAGCGCCAGTGCAGATGCCATGGCTTCCAGGAGGCTGTGCAGGTCCTCGTAGCTGTCGAAGTCCTTGTCCTTGCAGCGCTCACCGAGCACAACCAGCTCCCTGAACATTGTGGAGCTGAGCGACGGGATGGAGGTGATTGAGTCCAACAACTCTCCAGACTCTGTGGTGGCCGCCTGAGCAGGGAAGAGCGGGCAATGACAGGTAGCAAGTATGTTTTGTGTAGGGCAGCAGTACAAGTTCGTGTCCTCTAGCCTCGCACAGTCCAGTCTCTTGTGTCCCAGAAACCCTTCCGATTCTGTGTCACCGCAGCACCCTGCATGCCTTGAAAACCGACATACACCCGGGTGAGCGCCTCAAATGCCCACTTCTCCAGGTGTGCACCTGAAACACAACTTCTGCATGTATTGGCCCAAGCCTCTAGGGCCTCCTGGTTGGTGAACATGCGCTACTCAGAAGGTATTCCTGATGTACATGGGCATGTGTTGGCATTACACCCGTACCTGCAGCACCTGAGCAAATAGCGGGTTATCCAGATACAGCCTGCCGTTTCGCTCAGTGGTGAAGTTGGCCAGCAGCACCTCGAACGCCAGCGGGAGCTTGGCGTGCTCCACTCCAGCCATTGGGTCCAGCAGCTTGCGCAGGAGCAGCACCTGTGAAGTAGGCTGGCCCAGCACTTGCAGTACCATGTGCATGTCCGCCAGCACCTGAATAGGGATCACATGCGGCAATCGGGGATTGCTAGTCGAAACCGTCTGGCTCCACCAGCTGCCGTTCAACACGCAAGGAGCACACTCTTTCACAGCCAGCGCCTGACCATGCTTTGCACCCGTTCCCATTTGCAGGATTGCATTATGCAGGCCCCACCTCGGGAATGAACTTTCCTCTCAGGGTTTGCTCGACCAGCTTTGCAGCTGTGATAGCCGTCCCGTCATTACTCCACTCCTGGCATAAGTAGGCGAGCATGGCGATCTGCTGTGGTGACTGCCAGACCAGGTCGCTTGGCAGTGGCGGATCCCAGCTCGCGGCCTGGGCCTTTAGCTGCTCCCAGGCCACTTGCAGCACACCCTTGGACACCGTGGGGCTCAGGTTGAGTTGGGAGTGGTACGTGATTAGGACAAAATCGTTGGTCTGCGGCCATGCACAGCAGAGGCGTTCAGCTCTACAGAAGCTACAGTCATGGGTAGGACAGGCTGGGGGGGAAGATGAACCATGCACGAGTGAAGCTGCTGCCAGGGCAAGAGTGTACCAAACGTAGAACTGACCAAAAGGCGTCCGTGAAGACCGCGACATCGGGATGACAGAGTGAAGATGATGTCAGAAAAACAACCTACCTAAGCTGCCAGGACTAAGAAAGCAGAAAAAGCAGTATTGCCAAGCTGTAAAGAAGTAGGTGTAAAGGCAGCGGAGAAGTAATAAAACAGGGCTGTCATAAAGCTGGAATAAAGTTTGCTGCTGGCCTGGAGAACTAGCTGATTAGCTGGTACTGAAAAGCTGTTGGTATGCAAGTGCTCCTCTCAAACCCCCAAAAAAACGCGCGACCGACCTGACCAACCCAACTATCCTAGTCCGGCTAGCGGACAGACGCCAACACGATATACCGAAAAAGCTCGAACCACTGGACTCACCTGGCCAGGCAGCAGAAGTAGCGGCAAGGGCACATGCAAAGCAGAAGGGTAGCAAAGTGGTGAGCCGGGTGCGATAAAGGACAAAACATGCAAATGCTGCTGAAACATTTTAAACTGGCTGCAAAAGAGTTTCAACTGGCTGGCTGATGAGATATTTTGACTGAAAAGGGAAAGTGAAAAAAGAAAGGAAACACCTAAGAAGAAAAAGGCGGCGGAGGAAGGCATGAGAAGTGTCATACTGGACGAAAGGATGATGACGCAATTAACAGGATGCATAGCAGGTAGTTGTGGCCAGAAAATTGGGGTGAAAAAAATTAATAAGTGGAGAAGTACAGGCAAGTGCGGACATGTACATAGATGTGCGGGGAAGCGCGGGTGGACAAGCAAAAAATGTAGTGTGTGTGGGGGGGGGAGCATGAGAAGCTGAGTGGGGGTTGTGGCTGGGGTTGTGACAATGAGGCAGGCGGGAAGGAGCTGAGGGTCCACCCAAAGGCGCTGGGTCCTGGGACTGCAACCAAGGGGGGGCACATACTTTTCTCCGGACACACATGCTACATTTTTTGCCCGGCGACCCCAGGACCACCCACCCACCCACTGTCGTACGACATGTGTGTATGACACTGCCGTACATGCTCAAAAAAGTCATTTTCGCCCGGGAAAAAACCAGTGTGATCTGCACGTGAAGACCTTTTGACGTCCGTCACAAAAACTGCCGTGCAGCCAATCACAGCCACCACCAGCACGTCCCCTGTTGGAAAACCCGCTCGAATGAAGGCTATACATATGGCCCAAGCGCAGCTTGGAAACGAGCGCACAAAATACACACAGCTGGAACATCGCAACTTAGGCAGCATTGCAGAACAATTTCGGCAGCCAAAGCGTGGCCGTCAGAATTCCAAAAACAGCAAGCAGCATCATAAAACGAAGTCTTAGCGCCTGGACAAATGCAGGAGCCTGACGCACAACGCCAGAATATGCGGCTATAAGCAGAGCTCACGGCATTCACAAGCGTTGCAAGCAGGCATGCATGCAACACCCGTAACCACAACAGACAGGGATGCCAGTTTGTGTTCACACAATTGCTAGTACATCAGCAACATGATTGAGTTCACACCGACACACGGCTGCTGCCGTTCATAACACCACCGCGTCAGCTGTGCTGCCAGCAATGTTGGCCCAGAAGCACGAAGCACCACTGCCGAGGGGCCTGGATGCCTAGCTTCAGGTCTGCTATCCACACATCCGTTTTCTTGCTCGCCTTCTTTAGCACGCACATCACATAAACCCAATTGTTACAACTGCCTAGGAAGATATATCAATGTGTTCACAGTGACAATGAAGGTCCGTGGCCCACCATGGCTCTTGCTATACACACAACGAGTGGCCACTCAGTCCTTGCACCCAATCGGTCTGGCGCACCTTGACACACTGTCACGCCGCAAGGAGACGTGTAAACAACTCTGGGTCACACATGTTGCATGGCGCCAAGGGGTGTTGAGAGGCAAGGCCCCAGGCCTGAAGGGCCCCCCATTAACTAACCTCCCTAGCATCACAGCAGACTAGCACAATCAATAGATCTCGCCAAGGCGAAGCGATTGATGTCCATATTGGCACGTTTTAGCCACTGGTGACGTTGTTTAGGGACCCCTTCGACATCGTTCCTGGAGCCCCGGACCCACCACCCCACACGCTGCCATACAACCAACTTTGGAGACCAATAACTTATGTATTCCTGGGTCCATTTGCATTCTGAAAGCAGATATAGAACACTCCCGTCTAGCTCTTTGAGAATGAAGCATATGCATCCCCCCAGAAGTGCCCCCCCCTGCAACACCAATTGCTCACCAGGGTGACTGCAATGTTGGCCCATAGCGTCGCCATGGAACTGCCCGTGACGGCCCAGGCGACCCAGTGGGGGCTGTCCAGCAGGAGTTCCTTGAAAATGCTGCAGTACACACGACAGTGGAGGGAAGGAAAATGGTGCATGTGTCAGCTCCTTTGTGTCGTACACCTGCTGTAGGCATGAGTGCAGACCTCTGCCCCTTGTGCAATATGCTTATGTCGTACAATTGAATCTTGCAGCGATCTCCCCTTAGTGCCTTCTGCCCCCTCGTGTGAAGCTCCGCCTGGGCGTGTTTCACTGGCCATTGCCCCTCATCCTCGCCCATGTGATCACACAACACGGTTAGGGAAACCTTGTGCTGATTTACCACTGCATGAGCTGCACTTCGTCCAAGTCCAGTGTTGAGCTGCACGGCAAAAAGTCGCCCAGCATGGCCCGCTCAAGCAGGTAAAAGCTCTGCACCTCGTCAATCAGCAGGAAGTTCAGGCGGTCCCGTGGCAGCCGCTCCATGAAGTCCTGAATGGCGCCCGCTGCAGCGACAGCCGAGTTGTCGCTGGGTGCAGGCGTGCTGGCAGCAGCAGAGAGCCGCTGGTCAGCGGCGCTCCACTTGAGTACGGCAAGGAATTCCTTAAGGAAGCCACTGACACCGCTGCTGCGATCACAGCCCAAGCAGTTCACGCGCAGGAAGTTGGGCTCTGAAAGCACCATGCCAGCATGCTGCCGGCCACTGCCACTGCTGCTGTAGTAGGTGTTGGCCACAGCAGGCAGAACCTCGTTGAGCATGTAGGACTTGCCACTCTGCACAACAGGCACAAGATGGGCGCAAGATGGCTAGGTAAACATGCATTCCCCTTGGTCACTCAGCTGTGTATTACTCAACAGTGCACAAAGCTGCATGCATCACCCATCTACCACGCCTAATCTTCTCGTTCCAAACCCTGTTCCATGTGGGTTGGACACAAGCTGCACAAGGAGCTCTCCGTCCTTGGTCAGGCTGTTATATCCCACCTTGACCAGACCGTTGATGGACAGCGGCCGGATGGGTCTGCCCATACAGTACTCATCCTCGGCACGGTCCAGCCACTTCTTCAGCTCAGCTATCTGCCTGCCCTCGGGGTCCAGGAAGAACATGCTGTTCACGCCAGCACTTGTGGCAGCTGCAGTGCTGACAGTGTCCATGGGCTCAAAGAAGAACAGGTCCTGGTTCTGCAAGTCTTGCCGGAGCTGCAGCTTGCAAGCTGGCAGGCCTGCACAAGGATAGCCCATCGTGCCCACAAGGCGCATACACATTAAACAACCAGCAGCTGGCGCCCAGTTGCAATGCATGCAGGATCACAACACAACAAAAGGAGGCAGGAACGAAGGGGTGCAGAGCAGCAAAGTGATGAAGCAACTTCAAGCTGAATCAAGCCAGAAGTCACACCCCTCAGTAGCAAGAGGGTGTATATCATGCTGAACACTGAACCACCCCTCTACAGTAGAGAAAGTGTGTGCTGTCACACAGGGCTGCGCAATCGCAGGCCCAACAGGCTGGGGCGTGCAACTGCCAAGTGTTATCACTATGCATGTTGCCCGCCTGCCGAGGGACAAGCCCTTCATGGACATGTTGGCACTAGCGCTATAAATGAGCGTTCTGATGAAGTCCCCCCTCCCCCGCTCTCCATTCATGGTGGCCTGCGGCCTGAGGGTTGGTTTCTGTCCAGGAATGTGAGACCTGACAAGACTGAGAGTGGGAGCCTGGCTGGTAGTTTTTGTACAGTAAGACCCAACTCCACCTAAACCCACCATCACAACACCTGTGGAAACGTTAGTACGGTGCATGGGCAGGCCTAGCAGTTTGGGAAAGGGCATGTAAGCAGTGACAATGGGGGGTGGTAATGGCTAACGCTCAAGGCAGGCTATGTGACAAACCGAGCATCCACACACACTCAAGCCCAGTGCTGCAATGAAACGGGCACACCAAGCCCACAAAACCTGTTCCCCCCTTTCCCGCATCAGGCACAGTCGGCTCACCTGCATCAGTGTTGCTGGTGCCAGCATCTGCGCCTGCAGGCGGCAGGCCCACGGCAGGGTGAGCAGGGTGGATCACCGGAACACCCATGCTGTACAATATGAGCAACATTAAGTCGTCAAGCATAACAATGTTGCAGCATGTGTGCACATCATAGACACGGTCACCAGACAACATGCAAGGCGGGCCACTATCACACAGCGCACAGCTGCACGGCGGGGTGCTGCCTTTTTACAGCCGGTGGTATAGCATCTACACAATGCTGATACACGGTGAGCATGTTCACAAGCAGCCGCCTGTGAGCATGTTCACCAGCAGTCGCCAGCAGCAAGCATGCAGGGGGAGGAAAGTATAATGGATCCCAGTGAGATGGCAGCTTTATCCACGCCGCGAGCGGAGACAACCCCATCGGTCAGTCAGGCAGTCAGTCGCCATTCAGACACGATCAGCTGTGCCCATAGCAGCCAAGGTAGATCCCCTGCCATGGCCAGCCTACTCCGCCACAATCTTCGCAGTAGCTCAATCACAGTAGCTCAATCACGTACATACTGAACCACCTCAGGATGTTTGAAATGCTGCTTTTGCTTGGGTCAAGTCGCCAATGAGGAGATTTTCACATGTATACTTGTTGTTTGACTGGCAACCAAGCGGGCCTTACACTTCAAGACCCTGTTACCATGTAGATCGACGCTAAAATATCTTTCGAGTTTTTGCAAAAACAACTTGGGGTGGCTGCACTGGGGCCCTGGAAGCCGTGCCCTGGAAGACTCAAAACCATTTGGATCACTACGGGGTACCTCAATTTCCTCTGTAGGGCAAAATGGAAAATTCTCTAAAATGTCTACTGGAACTCTGTTTTCGGTCACAGACTTGGGGGTCACCGACCTCTGCCAGCAGGGTCAGGCATGCAAAATGGATGCAACACAACCATGTGCACGCGCTATGGGGCCACGAAGGACTTTCTCCACCAAGTTTGCCAATGCCCGTGAAGGGAACTACCCAAGCTAGCGCCACCAGCAGCAGCTCAGTGCGCTATCGAGAAAGCTTGCACATCCGATTTTCTCTCAACCACAAAGACTAGAAACACCGTTCTAAAGTCACTATACAAACAACGCCTACATTAGGGTTTACTGTTGAGGAAGATCATCCGTCACAGCAATAACCTTTCTTGCAAGTTATTGTTTACATCTTGCAAGCTATTGGTTACGATACCGGAGACAGGTTACATTACCAGAGACAGGACAGAAACCCCCTCTTAAGCAGAAAACTTCTCCGACACCCTAGTTGACAGGGTGATCAGTCGCATGCCGAACTTCAGATGTACCGAAAGACAACCAGCCTCACGGTCCACGCCACTCAATGTGTGCACAGCAGCATCCAAGATGCTAAAGTTGATATCTTGGCAGCGAGAGCAACCACCACGAGCAGGAGTCTATGCAACGCAGGCTCCTCGGCAAAGGATGACCTAGTTGGTGGCACAGGAACCGCGCTTAGAATTTACCTAAGGCCTGCCGAATGGCATCCACCACGCCAGGCGCCAGATGCGCTTGAACGAGATTTTCCCGTGTAGCTGCACGCAGGCGCGCAGCGGTCCGGTACTTGGCTGCCCACAGTAGCTCCAAGTCCTCTTCATCTAGCCCAGCAGAATCCAGGCCAGCCTCTGTCACTGCAGCGCACATACGCTGCCTGTCATCTGGCGTCATTGCGCCAAACGCCGACCAACGCCACCGGTTCTCGCAGGTTCTGCTTCAGCTGCGTCGACCCCAAATATTTAGTGGAAACCCTCTACGGGAATGCTACGGCTGCAAGTCGACGTCAGCGTTACGTTTGTTGCATTTTGCAGCTGCGGCAGCACCTAAGCTCTGATCAGAATCCAACGAGTGTGGCTTATGTATTCAAGCCGTGCTGGAATAAGTGACGTGGAGCACCTATCAGAAATTTTGCAAAGGACCAATGAAGACAAGATGTTATATGTTGTACGGGCCGTACTGCTCAGCAAAACATGTGTCCCCCACAGAGTTTGTCAAATCGGTTTCAACCCAAAGGGCGGTGAACATCACCTTAACAATTGCCACTGACTCGCAAGCCTCACTGGATCTTATCAAAAGAGCAGTAAACGATCCGAGTAAACTGCATATTTCCAAGCACAAAGCCTTACTAATGGACATCGCCGACCTACTGTACGAATGCGCCCAACAGAACATAACCGTTCACTTCCTGAAAGTGAAATCGCACACAGGCCTTGATGGTAATGACAAAGCTGACAAAGGAGCAACATCGGTCGCACGAGGTGAGAACCCAGCAACATTTACTGAAAAGGCCGACAATGCCCCGTTCGATAAAGTGTTCTGGCTGAAACAACGCGACACCGGTCTTTACGTTAATGACCTGAACAAAGGCCTTTATAAGCATCTCCAGCAAGGTACCTTCGCAGGCTATACCAACGACACAATACTAACTGAAAAATGGCGTAACACCGCCTCGAAGTTAGACCCCAAATCTAGCAATTCCTTCCTCAGTAACGCAAAGATGTCACACTGGCTCAAACTGCAAGTACTGAAAGCTCGATACGGGCTGCTATTTAATGCTAAACTAAAGAAACTTTACGGACGAGGCGGAGACGGCAACTGCCCTATCTGCCGCAGCTGCGGCCCGACCGGCCCCACACCAGACTCAGGAGCCCACATACTCGGCGGGTGTCCCCACCCAACCATGAAGGGCATGTACATCAACCGGCATAACCAAGCGACGCGCACTATCGCCGACTGCGTCAACGAGGGCCACCACGGTGGTGGCTTCATGATTATGGACGCCGGTAAAGAAGAGGATCTCCCGCCGTACTGCAGTGGGACGCGCGTCCCCAAATGGATGCTGCCACACTTAGCGGACGAAGAAATCCGCCGCCTCCGCCCAGACATCCTGTTCATCCCCGACCTCCCCGCGCACAGAACCAAGCGCAAACGGTACCAGGGGCCGGAGTGCAAATCCAAGCACGATGTTTACATTGTTGAAGTGGGCTACACCAGTGACCTGCAGCACTCCGACAAACTCGAACAGAAAACCGCACAGCATGCACGGCTAACAGAGGAACTCACGAAAGCAGGCTGGACGGTGCACTACACCGAGGCGCAAATTGTCACCCTGGGAAGTACTGGGACTCTAACCAACACACTAAAACCGACGGACAAGCAGCGGACGAAGTGTTTGATCATCTGTTTGATCATCTGGCCACCGTCGTGGGCGCCCTCCGCCAGTCGGGTGAGAGGATCCTGCTTCTGGGGGATTGGAACGCGCGCGTGGGGGGGCTGCCCAACCACCTCTCCGACATCCCGGACCTAGACTATCTTGACGATTTAGGAGAGGAGGTCGGGTGCCCTTTTGTGGACGGCGAGGCATACAGAGCACTGCTGGGTGTGCCCCGCCGGTCGCTAGATCAGGAGCATAATGCGTTTGGACGTAAACTGCTCGAGTTGTGCCGGGTTTCAGAGGTTGTCATTCTCAATGGGCGGGCACCGGGTGACACTGAGGGCAGGCTCACATACGAGTCCAGCCGGGGGGGAGGCAGCATGATTGACCTTGTGCTTGCGTCCCCTTCTTTGTACCCGTGCGTGCGTTCCTTCCGTGTCCTGCCACAGCAATCTTTTTACCGTGAAGAACGCCGCTTGAGTGATCATAACCCCGTGTCCCTTCACCTCGCGTCGGTTTGGAGGCCGGACCGGCCACCCACGCGTAAACCCAAGCCGACGTTTCTTGTCTCTGAGGCGCACAGGTACACAGACATGTTCTACAACCCGGAGGCCCCCCCTGTGGTTGGTGTCCGGGCGGTTGTGGATTCCCTGCGTGCTGGCCAGATTGGTGTCACCCAGGCGGTGGACACTATCGAACGGATTTTGCTGGGTTGCTTCGGTGATGCCTTCAGGCCCGGGCCGGTTTCTAACGGCAAGGCGGCGTGGTGGAATGATGAGTGTGCTGCGGCTAAGCAGGCCATGTTGCAGTATCGGTCTGATGTGATGAAGTGGGGGTGTGCTGCCCCGGCTATGGGGCATACGAGTTTTCAAGAGTTACGTCGTCAGTTTAATCGTGCTAAGCGTAACGCACGACGGGATCACCGGCTGCGAGCCTTGGAGTTATTCATAGCTACATGCAAACGGGATGCGAAGACCCTATGGCAACGTCTGAACGGTAAGCCAGCGTCCAGATGCAATGTGGAAGACGTGTCGGAGTGGACGGACTACTTCGATCGCCTTTATAATGCCTCAGCCTCCTTCGATGAGGTGCAGGAGGCCCGTGTCTGTGCCATTCTCAACTGTATCAATCTCGGTGCGGGCTCCCAAGTCGGGGCGGCGTGGCGTGATTCCGAACCGGTGCATGCTAGACGGTCTATGGCCGACACTATGAATGGTCCGTTCACTCTTGAAGAGGTTGAGGCGGCTTTGTCGTCCCTGTCTAATGGGCGTTCCCCGGGTCTGGGTATGGTTCCGGCCGAGTGCTACAAGTATGCCAAGCGAATCCCTCGTGAAGGTGACGAGGACAGGGTGTCTGTCAATGTTATTGCCCCTGCGATTCGAGACCTTTTCAGCACATTTGGGATACAGGGGATGTGCCTGACCAGTTTTGCGTGGCGTCTCTCAGTCCGTTATTTAAGAAAGGCGACCCCAGGGTCAAGGACAACTACAGGGGTCTAGCTGTGGGATGCGCCATTGCCAAATGCTATGCCACGGTTCTCGACAGGCGGCTGGCAGCTTTCGGGGATAAAGATGGTGTCCGGTGCCGTTTTCAGGCTGGGTCCCGTCAAAAGCGCAGTACAGTTCATCAGTTGTTCGTTGTTCGTCATCTTAAAAGTCGTTATGAGCGGCCCGGCAGCAATCAGGCCCTGTATGCGTGTCAGGTGGATTTTGAGAAAGCCTTTGATAGAGTGCCCCGGGCAAGCCTGTGGCAGCGTCTTGAGGAGAGGGGTGTGCATGGACCCATGTTGGCGGCCCTTAAAGCCAGCTACGAACGTGTTCTCCAACGGGTCAAGGTTAACGGTCGCCTAGGGTCCATCTTTGCCTCTCTGCAGGGCGTGAAGCAGGGGTGTCCCATGAGTCCCAATTTGTTCGGGTTCATCATTGAGGTTATTGCCGACTACCTTGAAGCGAGGGATGGTATGGACGAATGGTTCAACACACGTGCACACGAATGTCCTGTCATTAATGATCGTCGGCTGCCTCTGTTGTTCTATGCAGACGACCTTACTTTGTTCGCGACCTCGTTGGCACGCCTCCAGTTCTCGCTTAAGCTGCTTATTGAGTTCTGTGCTGCTTTTGGTATGCGCTGCAACGTTCGGAAATGTGAGGCCCTTGTTGTGGCTGCTTCCGTTGATGTCGTTAAGAGGGCGTTTGAGGGGGTGAGGCTCATGCTTCCTCTCCGTACTGATGGGTCGCTTTGGCACCCACCCATGGTTGGTAGTTTACTTGTTCCTAGTCCTATTAACTGGTGTGGTCGCGTTAGGTACTTGGGTCTCTATTGGGGCCCTGCGTCCCCGTTTGCGAGTTGTGTCAACGAACTTTTGGAAGCAGGGCGACGGGCTATGTTCGGTCTTAGTAATCGGTTGGATGAGAACAGGGTGTGGGCTCCTGCCGTTCGGCTTCAAGCGTTCGACACCCAGGTCCGTTCGGTTCTCTGTTATGGTGCTGAGGTCTGGGGTCCTGATAGGATTGTCTCCGTCCTGCGGTTAGGTAAACGTGTTTTACCCGCTGGTAAGTCATATTTTGATTTGGCTTTGGAAGATGGTATGGTCCAGGTCCAGCGTGACTTCTGTTTACGTTGTGCTGGGCTCAAGCAGGTACCTTACAAGCTGTTGTACAGGGAGCTGTCTCAGTTGCCTTTGCAGTACTTCTGGTTACGCCTTGCGTTGTGTTTCTGGAATAAGATAGTCAAGTCCCGTGGGTCGGTCTATCATGACGTGTTAGTAGATGATCTCCGTCTGGCTCTTCTGTCTGATCTCAAAGTGGATTGCTGGTCGTCTAAAGTGCTCATCATTTTGCGTTGGTTGGGCCATGAGTGGCCGGCGTGTGACTCCGTTTCTCAGAAGGTAGATGTATACTCGTCTCAGTTGATTCGAGTGGTTGAGGTTCTTGGAGAGGTTATCTGCGTTCCTTTTAGTGACTGGATCAGTTCAGCCAAGGGGGTGATCCGCGTGTGTTCCAGGTAAAGGGGTTTTCGTTTGCAGGTATCATAACGGGATGGGCTCCCCTTCACCAGCAAGAGAGGGCTCCGATCCCACAGGCTATTTGCGTGTTTTATTGCCGGTCAACCAGTTGCGTATGGTTGCCAAATTTCCGTCTTTGTTGTTGGCCTTTGGAGGTCAACAAAGGACACCATAGGCCGAGAGAGTGCCGTACGTGTCAGGTCTGTACGTCGGGTAAGGTTGAGGATGAATATCATGTGCTCATGGAGTGTGAGGCGTATACTGAGTTGCGTAATAGGTTTCTGATTAACGTTGAAGATACTGATATGCGCAAGGTATTTCTTAATACCAATCCGAGGAAAATCGCTACTTTCCTTACTGAGGTTTTTGATGAGCGTCAACAGCGTGCTCTGGAGCCTCACGGCTCGTGAGGGCACCCGCCGCGTCGGCGGCGGAAATACTGTAACCACAACACAAAACCGCTACTATGCAGACTCGGCTCGTCCGCTGAGCAGGCCCAGAAGACCTGCCTGC